AAGAAAAAAGCCCACAAATCATTATGAAGAATAGAACAGGATAAACTCTTTCATGATTAAAACAAAATGCTCAGCAAAGAATAAAACTTTGTCAGCGTATGACAGCAAGCACTGTACTTGGTGGTAAATACTGAAATCTTTCCATCTTAAATCAAGAATAAGGCCTCGCCCCAGGCCCCTCAGCTACTAGAGGCAGAACCCAGACTGGCCTTCCGCGGTTACGCGGTTAAGACAGGGTCGGGAGGAAGAGCTGCTGGATCCAAATGGGGACGTTGTGCGTTGTGTGCGTTGTGACGAGCCAGAACCTGGAGAGCTTCCGGGAAAGGCAGATCCCCAAGGAAACTGCCGGAAATCGGCACAAAAGTATTTGTTTCAATGAATTTATATGTGCGATGAAAGGACTAGACCAACTTCAATGATACAAATTCTGTATTAACCTTAAAGTAGCATGGGATAAAAGTCAAGGGGCTGCCCTGTAGTTTGCCTGCTTGTGTGTAGTTTCCTGGAGCCAATGGCTGCCAAGCACGAGAACGTGCATTTCTAACACGTTCCCAGATGATGACGATGATGGAGACCACACTTTCATAACCACTGTCACACAGAAAACCTGAATCGTTTTTCTCCACCCACTCATAAATATGCATCTCTAACTTTTTACATTCAAGTTAGATTTGGAGTTTTTAAAAATCAACTACAACCATATCCAAGCCATCCTGCTGACGGTATTTGTTCAAATGACGCTTGAAGTTTTCAGAGATGACTGAAGCGAACAAAACTGAACGTTCGCTCGGATCTCGCTTCGCCCGTGCCTGCCCCTCTAGAGGCCGCTCTTTGAACCGTGCACCGCCAACAGCACGCGCGCAGCAACCAGAGGTGAGGCAGCCAACCGGCCCGGGCGCGGGGGCAGCAGGCCCGGTAAACGCCGCGCTCCGCAGTGCCCCGCGCGCCCCGGAGAGCGCGGGCCCGCCCCGGGCAATTCGCGGCCTCCCCGCTGCCCGCGCGCCCCCCGCCGGTCCCGCCAGCCCAGCGTGAAGCCCCGCCCGCCGCACAAACACACCCGGCCCCGAGGACTCACGGCCGCCGCCGCCCGCCTGCCTCTCCCGGAAGACGGACGCCTGCCCCGGCCGGCCGGAAAAGATGGCGAGCCGCGCGCCCCACCGCACAGCGCTTCAGCGGCTCCCGGCCTCGCGCGCGCCCTCATCGACTCGCTCGGCCCGCGGCTGTGCGGCCTTCGCGGGCGCGCGGCGGACTCGCCCGCCGAGGGGGCGGGACCGGCCTCTGCAGGTTTGTTTTAGGCCTCGGGGTTCTATTTTCATTTACAGAACTCTACAAATGAATTCTTAAGGGAAAGCCAAGTATTTAAAACGAATACAAAGCGTAATTTCTTAGCACTGTTTTATTTTATAAAGTCGAATCTGCAGTGAAACCCTGAAATCCCTTTTGAGCATAATTTAAAAAATGGAATATAATGAATGGCATATATTGAGGTGGAGGGGAGGTTACACACTGGTGTATCTGGAACTAGTAAATTTTGTTTTGTGTTTGTCTTTAGTTGCTGGTCTTGCACTCTCAGGAAACGTCAAAATGACGAGTTTTGCACGCTTTAAAAAAATAAGAGGTGTACACAAAAGTTAATGGCAACAAATTTAAAATGTTAAATTTGGTATGTAATTTACACTTGAGTGCATGTTGCTTATTACAATTTTATAAAATTAAAATACAGCTAACAAAGTTTACCATCTTAACTATTTTTAAGTGTACAGTTCAGTGTCATTAAGTACATTCACACTGTTGTGCAATCATTATGTAACACTATCCATCTCCTAGACTCTTCATCCTGCAAAACCCCCAACTCCTGGCAACCAGCATTCTACTTTTTCTGTGTATTTGACTACTCCAGGTGCCTCATGTAAGTGGAATCATGCAGTATCTTTTTTGTGGCTGGCATATTTCACTAACGTAATATCCTCAATGATTATCTGTGTTGTAACATGTATCAAAACTACCTTCCTTTCTTAAAGCTGAATCTTCCACTGTATTGTATACCAGTTTGTTTATCCATTTATTTGTTGATGGACTCTTGGGTTGCTTGCACCTTTTGGATACTTTGAGTATTGCTGTGTAAACATAGACAAAAAGGAGTTAATATTGATAAAGTAAACTGAAACAGTTGGGGACCATTAAGGAAAAAGGGTCTAAGTACATCCTTTTCTCTGAAACTATTCTTGGCAGTTAAACTTTGTCATCTGTCAAACCTAAAAATCCCAGACAAAACAGGACAAGCTGTTACCTGAAACAAAGTGGACTTTTGCCTAATGAATAACCTTAGCAACCAATTATGTATAGTCAAATGTAGGTTACAATAGCTTCAGCCACTTGTAATTCTCTCAAAAAAACTCATGTATACCCCTTCAGAACACTGCCCCCCTACACACACACCTTTTGCCTTTAAAAAACCAAAGGCTTTTCCTTCTTCAGAGCATACATTTGGGTTTCCTCCAGAATCTATCCCCTGGATTGCGATCCGAGACCCAAATAACTGCAACTAATTGTTTTACAGCTTTGCCTTTCCTTATGGACAGCTTCTATGAATATGACTATAAAAACATCTTGAGAACCTACTTTGACTTCTTCTGGGTATACACCCCGAAGTGGAATTGCTGAATCATAGTTCTATTTTTAATATTTGAGGAACAGCCATATCATTTTGCACATTGGCTAAGCCACTTTACAGTGCTACAAGAGTGCACAAAAATTCCAATTTTTCCTCATCCTTGCACCACTTTTTTTAATAGTGGTCATCCCAAATGGTGTGAGGTGATACCTCATTGCATTTCCTTAATGAGTAGTAGTGATGTTCAGCATCTTTTCATATGTTTGTTCACCATTTGTCCTTTTTAGAGAAATGTCTGTTCTAGCCCTTTGCCCATATTTTTCAAACAGGGATTTTTGGGGGGTTGTTGAGCTGTAGTTCTTCATATATTCTGGATATTAACTCTTTATCAGATATATAATTGGCAAATATTTTCTCCCATTTTGTGGGTTGACTTTTTACTCTGTTGACTGTGTCGTTTGACTTACTAAAAAAAAGTTTTTAAGTTAAACATTAAAAAATAAAATTTGAATAAGACCTCTGAAGCTTCTGCTGGGCAGAAGTAAAAACTTGTGCATCATGCTCCCATCCCCATTCTCTTTCCTGCACCCCCAACTGAGAAGGGTTCAGAAAATGTAGATATTTCAGTTCTCTTACTTCCTCTTTCTCATGAACCTCCAAGAACCTCTTCACCTTCATGCAGAATGCAGCATGGAGGCATGTATGAAACCAGGTATTTATTGAAATAAGACAATTTCTACTGCTTATTAAATAAAGCACTGCAAAATGAATTCCATACCCTCATATACAAGGATCTTAAACTTTTCCCCCTGACAGTGATTGGGTGGAATACAAAACTTTATGAATATTTTTTACCATGAAGTTGAATTGGTCTATAACAAGAAACTTTTTTCCTAATTTTAAACTTAATATAATATCTAAAATGTGTGTGAAATTAAGCATGAAAGCAAACTAAAGAGGAGACTGTGGCCTATTTCTAGCATAATTCCCTTCTGCATGCCTGAGAAGTAGGAAAATTGTTCATACTAAATATCCACAAGCTAATTAGATTTCATTTCTTTCTAAAGCACTCAATTCAACCATAATTGTAGTCTAAGGTAGAATTTATACATATCACTGGGATTTTATTAATCAACTCTCACAATATATTCAGGATAGACAGTTCTCTAGATTTTGAATAAGAGATGAGAGATATAAAAGTTATGCAATTGCCAGGGGTTAAAAAGTAAGTTAGTGGAAGAACTTTAGAAACTTAAGAAATTGATTGTAGGGTTCATCCTTTAGAACACACTACCTCCAACTAAACTGGAAAAAGTAACTCTAAATTGAAAGCCACAGACACTGAGGAACAGGAGTAGTTTTAGGTGTCAAGAGGTCTTTATTGGAATAATAGCACAGTTACACTTCTAATACCCTTTCCACGTGTATACGATTAAAAATGCTTGCTACATACATTGCACAGACAGTTCAATAATTAGAACCAAATCAACTACATTTGAAATAAATTAAATAGCCTGTTTAATAATTTAAAGTAAAGTAACTGTACAATATGAAAATAAAGATACATAAATGTTAGGATCTACAATGCTATATAAGTAAAATTATTCTGCATTACACAAAACAGTGCAAGAAAAAAACCCAAATAAGTTTTTGGAGTGCAAAGTTTTAATTTTCCATTTTAAATTATCATGCAGACATAGCATTTCAAACCATGCTATAGTCTATGGCAAAGTTTTTAATTTTTAAGAGGAAAAATGCTAGCCAGTGAATTTACTGTACCACCAAGTGCTGCATCTGCATCAGGTAACACTGCTGCTCTGCTCCTGCAGTACAGTTTAGGAGGGAGGTATCTTGTTGCATTCAAAAAAATTGAAATTAGCAAGTTTCTGAAGCAAACACATTTACTTTTTAAGCCTGAAACAGAATAATTTGACAAAATCGTAACTATATCCCTGGGTTTAAGACAAAAGAAAAGGTCTATACCACATAGTGAACTAAGAAGCAGTTTTCCATCTATCTTTAAACTGTATAATAATCCTTAGTGAAAACAACCATGTAACTTTGGAAGCATACAAAATTTTGACCTCTAAGCTGACAAGTGATACAATATGGGATTGTGAGAAAAGCAAAAGTAATTTCTGAACATCTATGTAGAACTTGGTTGAGTCACATGTTATCATGTTTAAAGTATAGTTCAATTTAATGTGTATTATATAAAACTTGTATTTAGGCAAAGACCAAGGAATGCATTTAATACTAAACCATAAACACATCGTCCACCTTGACTTGGAGTGCACTGACGACATTAAGAGCTCTTTCGCAGACTTTGGCAACAAGACTACATACAGCAGGTCACAGCAGCACGAGCTCACGTGTAAGACTGAAAGCACTGCAGAATAACACCACCCACAGCTCCTAGCAAAGGGACACATGGCAATAAGGGGCCTCCTCGTGCTAAGCCACTTTCTCGGTCAGTCTTTGTTCTCCAAATCTGTAATTTTCACAACTCAGTAGTCTTAAGTCTCTGTGCTTTCACTGCAGAGATGGACACTGGGTGTACTCTACCCATTATAAGTCCAGAGGGTTACAGTTCTGTCTGCAGAGGATGACAGGAAGGAAAGATCCTGGGTGTGCCATCTGCACTGAATCACCTTGTCCTTGTGCTCCCCCACCACCATGATAGGAAGCTGTTTAGTGAGGTCTCCTAAATTAAAAGAGATACGGATTTACAATACAAAATAACTATGTGTATCAATTTCAGAGACTTCCTGTTACTTTATGACATTATAGTATAAGAAATCCTAAACTATGTGAATACATTGAAAGGTCTAAACAGGGATATTACTGAATACCTGATTATGTCAGCAGTACTTGGGAACACACAGCAACGTTTGCCACAGCTGCCATTCTCTTACCTTGTTTTCACCCTGATTTCAGTACCACTACATCTTGGTCTCCTCTGCTGGTTTCCTTTCTCTTCCTGACTTAAAATTTGGTGAATCCCAGGAGTCAGCCTTCAGATTTCTTGTCCCCTTTATACTCATTTCCTTTGAAATTTCATCTAGTACCATGGCCATGTATATAGTTAAGATTCACACACATTTCATTTCCAACCTTGATTTCTCACCTGAGCTCCAGACTACTATGAAATAGCTATTTAGCATCTCACTTGATTGTCTAATAGTCATCTTAAATATATCTTGTTTAAAACCAAACTCTTGATTTTCTTGCCTAAACCTCCTCTTACCTGTCTTCCTCATCTCAACTAACGGCACCATCTGGTTGCTCATGCCAAAGCCTAGTAATCAGCACTGACTTTTTTTTTCCCTCGCTCCCCAAATTTAGTCCAAACAAATTAAAATATATACCAAATTCAGACACTTCTTACCACCTCCAGCTCTACCATCCTAGTCCGAGCCACCATAGTCTCACCTGAACTGCTTCAGTAGCCTCCTCACTGATATTTATACTTATAATCCATTCTCCCTACAGAACTCAAAATGACCTTTTAAAAAGTAATTCAGATCACTCCCTGTTTTAAATCTTACAAATGATTCCCATTATGCTTTAAAAAAATGCCTAAAAAACCCTGCCTTAGTTCACTAAGCTCCAGCCACATTGGTTTCTTAAAGTGTCAGAAACATGCCAAATTTGTTCTGACCTTAGCACCTTTATATTTGCTGTGGTCTTCTAGGGTCTTGGCGTGGCTTGTTCCTTCTCATCTTTCAGATCTCTGCACAAATGGCACTTCTCTGGATTGACCTAGTCCATCCTATCTAAAACACTCTTCCCCTATTCACCTCTGTCACTCTCTAGTACCTTGCTAAGTAAGTCTGCAGTAGCACTTGCCAGTACCTAAAATAACATCGTTTATTGGTTTACTTTTACTGACCTCTGAAACGTAAGCTCCAACAAGGAGGAAGTGACTTGTCTTATCTCTCTGTCCCTAGTTGGTACACAATAAATATTTGCTTAATAAATGTTTAAAAAGAAAACTAGAGAGTTGAAGACATAATCACACAGATTTTACCCTAAGTTTTTAAAAGTAGAAGCAAATAGGAGTACATAAAGGCATATTTTAACTACCATCACTGAATTAAAAATGATTCAATGTAATGTTTATTCTTTTAAATATTTTACAAACTAACAATAAAAATAAAACTAATCACTCAATTTAATAATTTGCTGCAATTCAACACAATACAGTACTAGTAACTTGCTCAGTAAATACTGTAAAACTATAATTTAAAAATGTTATAGAGCCAATCACATAAAAAAAAATAGAGACCCCCAAATAGAAGAGTAGAGACTAAAAATAAGGAAAGTGATCGATCTCCTTCACCTTGTAGGTCTGTCACCTTTATTTTCATATCGTAGGATCCTGTTAGCAAGTAGTGAGCTCCAGGAGAGAATCGAACAGAGCGAACATCACTGGAATGAGGGTGATAACTTTGTACCATTCTTCCTCCTCTTATGTCATACAACATGCAGCTAGAATCTTCTTGTCCTGTGGCTAAGAGTCGGCCACTGGGATCTACAGCTACAGATGCCACTGCACTGCCTGTATAGCAAAAGGAATTTAAGTTTCAATATGGACAAATCAATATAGCTAAACTGCAATGGCTTATTATGTTCACTGAACCATTCAATAGAAGTTTAATGTAGCTTATCAATATGGTTCAGTTATGGAAAAATCAAGTGAACAGTCAACTAATAAACACTTGCATCCTTTTTATAGGGGCAAGCTATGAACCAAGATTCTGTGAGAAAGCCCACCTCTTTGTCATTTGGGAGAACCCTTTGGGAAAGCACTACCTATAACGCAATAGATGAACCACTTTTTCTCATGCAGTGTTTTCACTGCTGAGTAAGCATCCAGAAATAGTCCCAGTTCCCAGTTTAGAGTCTGGCTGGAGGAATAAGAAACTAAATTTGACAAAGTATGTTTTAGGACGCAGTGTAGGAAATGTCTCTTAAGCAACACATGTTTAACTGCCACAGGAACTGAGCAGAAAATAAGCTTTGGGTTCCACAGGCTGGCCTCACTCTACACCATGCATTTTTATTGGGGGCAATAATGCCTCAAAGGGGTGTAAAATGGTTCTTGGGGACAAAAAAATTTTAAACATTAACAATGGTTTGAAGCCCTCCAAAGGTCAACCCTACACAATAAAATCTTATTTCTTAGTATTTGATCTCTTAATAGGGAAAATTTTAATTTAGCTTTTCCCTTTGGGGTGTGGGAGGGCAATAATGAAAATAAAGTTTAAGAACACTGCTCTAGATTGAAGTGGCCTGGGAAAACTTCACAGAAAAAAGGGACATAAGTTAGATCTTGAACACTAAACATTATAAATAAGAGAGTGTGTATTTATATGTATTAAACACATGTAATTAAAAATAATCTTTGCTTGGGGCGGAGCCAGGATGGCGGCGTGAGTAGAGCAGTGGAAATCTCCTCCCAAAAACACATAGAGCTATGAAAATATAACAAAGAAAAATCTTCCTAAAATAGAGACCACAGGACACAGGACAACATCCAGACCACATCCACACCTGCAAGAACCCAGCGCCTTGCGAAGGGGGTAAGATACAAGCCCCAGCCCGGCGGGACCCGAGCGCCCCTCCCCCCGGCTCCCGGCGGGTGGAGAGAAACCGGAGCGGTTTTTTTTTTTGTTTTTTTGGCGAGCGCTTTTTGGAAGCCTTAGAGGGACGGGCCCCCGTTGCTGGGGAGGCAGGGTGGCGGGACCGGTGAGGAGGTGCCTGGGAACGGCGCCGGAGGACAAAGAATATCCCGCGTTTCTCCCTGCGAGACCTGGGGGCGGGTGCCTGAGACCGGTGCCTGAGGACGGAGGAGGTCGCGCGTTTTTCCCCTTTTTTTTTTTTTCTTTTTTTGGCGAGCGCTTTTTGGAAGCCTTGAAGGGACGGGGACCCCAGTGCTAGGGAGGCACGGTGGCGGGACTGGTGAGCGGGTGGCTGGGACCGGCGCCTGAGGACAAAGAATATCCCCCGTTTTTCCCTGCGGGACCGGTGGGCGGGTGCCTGAGACCGGCACTTGAGGACAGAGGAAATCGCGCGTTTTTCCCCTTTTTTTTTTCTCTTTTCTGCGAGTGCTTTTTGGAAGCCTAAAAGGGACAGGGACCCCGGTGCTAGGGAGGCAGGGCGGCGGGACTGGTGAGCGGGTGCCTGGGACCGGCACCTGAGGACAAAGAATATCCCGCATTTTTCCCTGTGGGACCGGTGGGTGGGTGCCTGAGACCAGCACCTGAGGACGGAAGAAATCGCGCGTTTTTCCCCTTTTTTTTCTCTCTTTTTGCCGAGTGCTTTTTGGAAGCCTTGAAGGGACAGGGACCCCGGTGCTAGGGAGGCAGGGCGGCGGGACTGGTGAGCGGGTGCGTGGGACCAGTGCCTGAGGACAAAGAATATTGAGCGTTCCTTCCCTGCGGGACCGGTGGGTGGGTGCTTTTTGGAAGCCTTGAAAGGACAGGGACCCTGGTGCTAGGGAGACAGGGCAGCAGGACCAGTGCGCGGGTGCCTGGGACCGGCACCTGAGGAAAAAAAAAAAAAAACGCGTGTTTTTTCTTTTTTTTTTCCTTTCTGTTCCCTCTCTCATTGTTGCTGTTGTTGTTTTGGTTTGGAGAGTGCTTTTTGGAAATCTTAAAGGGGCAGGACAGGTCACTTAGACCAGAAGCAGGGAATCTGGGGATCTCTGGGCACTCTAACCCCCTGGGCAGCAGGGAGCACAGAGGCCCCTTACGGAGATAAATAGTCTCCTGGCTGCTCCCCCTCTAACGGGGCTCCACCATTTTGGAGGAACAGCCCCAGCCAGGCCAAGCCCACAGCAACAGTGGAGATAAACCCCAAAGCAACTGGGCAGGAAGCAGAAGCCCTGTCTGCGCACAGCTGCCCAGCACAAGCCACTAGAGGTCGCTATTCTCCCAGGAAAAGGCTACAAACCAACAAGAAGGGAAGCTCTTCCAGCGGTCACTTGTACCAGCTCTGCAGACTATCTCTATCACCATGAAAAGGCAAAACTACAGGCAGACAAAGATCACAGAGACAACACCTGAGAAGGAGACAGACCTAACTAGTCCTCCTGAAAAAGAATTCAAAATAAAAATCATGAACATGCTGACAGAGATGCAGAAAAAAATGCAAGAGCAATGGGATGAGATGCAGAGAAAAATGCAAGAGCAGTGGGATGAGATGCAGAGAAAAATGCAAGAGCAGTGGGATGAAGTCCGGAAGGAGATCACAGATGTCAGGAAAGAGATCACAGAAGTGAAACAATCCCTGGAAGGATTTATAAGCAGAATGGATAAGATGCAAGAGGCCATTGAAGGAATAGAAGCCAGAGAACAGGAACGTATAGAAGCTGACATAGAGAGAGATAAAAGGATCTCCAGGAATGAAACAACACTAAGAGAAATATGTGACCAATACAAAAGGAAAAACATTCGTATTATAGGGATACCAGAAGAGGAAGAAAGAGGAAAAGGGATAGAAAGTGTCTTTGAAGAAATAATTGCTGAAAACTTCCCCAAACTGGGGGAGGAAATAATCGAACAGACCATGGAATTATACAGAACCCCCAACAGAAAGGATCCAAGGAGGACAACACCAAGACACATAATAATTAAAATGGCAAGGATCAAGGACAAGGAAAGAGTTTTAAAGGCAGCTAGAGAGAAAAAGGTCACCTATAAAGGAAAACCAATCAGGCTAACATCAGACTTCTCAACAGAAACCCTACAGGCCAGAAGAGAATGGCATGATATACTTAATGCAATGAAACAGAAGGGCCTTGAACCAAGGATACTGTATCCAGCACGACTATCATTTAAATATGATGGTGGGATCAAACAATTCCCAGACAAGCAAAAGCTGAGGGAATTTGCTTCCCACAAACCACCTCTACAGGGCATCCTACAGGGACTGCTCTAGATGGGAGCACCCCTAAAAAGAGCACAGAACAAAACACACAACATATGAAGAATGGAGGAGGAGGAATAAGAAGGGAGAGAAGAAAAGACTCTCCAGACAGTGTATATAACAGCTCAATAAGCGAGCTAAGTTAGGCAGTAAGATACTAAAGAAGCTAACCTTGAACCTTTGGTAACCACGAATCTAAAGCCTGCAATGGCAATAAGTACATATCTTTCAATAGTCACCCTAAATGTAAATGGACTTAATGCACCAATCAAAAGACATAGAGTAATAGAATGGATAAAAAAGCAAGACCCATCTATATGCTGCTTACAAGAAACTCACCTTAAACCCAAAGATAAGCATAGACTAAAAGTCAAGGGATGGAAAAACATATTTCAGGCAAACAACAGTGAGAAGAAAGCAGGGGTTGCAGTACTAATATCAGACAAAATAGACTTCAAAACAAAGAAAGTAACAAGAGATAAAGAAGGCCACTACATAATGATAAAGGGCTTAGTCCAACAAGAGGATATAACCATTCTAAATATATATGCACCCAATACAGGAGCACCAGCATATGTGAAGCAAATACTAACAGAACTAAAGAGGGAAATAGACTGCAATGCATTCATTGTAGGAGACTTCAACACACCACTCACCCCAAAGGATAGATCCACCGGGCAGAAAATAAGTAAAGACACACAGGCACTGAACAACACACTAGAACAGATGGACCTAATAGACATCTATAGAACTTTACATCCAAAAGCAACAGGATATACATTCTTCTCAAGTGCACATGGAACATTCTCCAGAATAGACCACATACTAGCTCACAAAAAGAGCCTCAGTAAATTCCACAATATTGAAATTCTACCAACCAATTTTTCAGACCACAAAGGTATGAAAGTAGAAATAAATTCTACAAAGAAAACAAAAAGGCTCACAAACACATGGAGGCTTAACAACATGCTACTAAATAATCAATGGATCAATGAACAAATCAAAATAGAGATCAAGGAATATATAGAAACAAATGACAACAACAACACTAAGCCCCAACTTCTGTGGGATGCAGCGAAAGCAGTCTTAAGAGGAAAGTATATAGCAATCCAGGCACACTTGAAGAAGGAAGAACAATCCCAAATGAATAGTCTAACATCACAATTATTAAAACTGGAAAAAGAAGAACAAATGAGGCCTAAAGTCAGCAGAAGGAGGGACATAATAAAGATCAGAGAAGAAATAAACAAAATTGAGAAGAATAAAACAATAGCAAAAATCAACGAAACCAAGAGCTGGTTCTTTGAGAAAATAAACAAAATAGATAAGCCTCTAGCCCAACTTATTAAGAGAAAAAGAGAGTCAACACAAATCAACATAATCAGAAATGAGAATGGAAAAATCACGACAGACTCCACAGAAATACAAAGAATTATTAAAGACTACTATGAAAACCTATATGCCAACAAGCTGGAAAACCTAGAAGAAATGGACAACTTCCTAGAAAAATACAACCTCCCAAGACTGACCAAGGAAGAAACACAAAAGTTAAACAAACCAATTACAAGCAAAGAAATTGAAACAGTAATCAAAAAACTACCCAAGAACAAAACCCCGGGGCCGGACGGA